ACATACATACATATATATATATATATATATACATATATATATATATATATATATATATATTATATATATATATATATATATGTGTGTGTGTGTGTGTGTGTGGTGTGTGTGTGTGTGTGTGTGTGTGTGTGTGTGTATGCATATACAATATATAATAGATAGATAGATAGATAGATAGATAGATAGATATAGACAGATAAATAGATAACATATATATATACCATATACATACATTTATGTGTATATGCTTGTGTGTGTATACAGAAGATCCAGAATGCATTAGGAAATAAGCTTGCTCATAATGTGATAAGAAGAAGAAGCAAAATATTTGTTTCGGACACATTTTGTCAGGAAGAAACACCCGGCAGCAGGTATTTGTAATCATTTAGCGAAACCTAATTATAGAGGTGTTTGTCTTTTTAGAATTTCTGTATAGCATCATATTAAGTAATATTATCATTATGACTTTAAATGTGCGAAACATAACTGACAGCCAAGACATGAATATAAAATTTTAATATTTTTCACTTTTGTTCTTTGATATCGACATCTTATAAAGCAACATCAGCATTATGAAAAAAGGAAGAAAATATATGTTTATATATATGAGCGCTTGTCTATGTATGTTTATGTGTGTATACAGAAGACATTTATTTTCTGCAGGTGATCCAGAATATATTAGAAAAAAAAAAAAACATGCAGGAACATTCGTTCGCTTAAAAAAATATAGATGCTTATGTATATATACCTACATTCACACAGAAACACACGTGCATATATATATATATATATATATATATATATATATATATATATATATATATATATATATATATATATATATATATATATATATATATATATATATATATATATATATATATATATTATATATATATATATATATATATATATATATATATATATATATATATATATATATATATATATTTCTCCTTTATCTATATGCAAATACACACATATATGTGTTTGTCTATAAGTTATATATATATATATATATATATATATATATATATATATATATATATATATATATATATATATATGTGTGTGTGTGTGTGTGTGTGTGTGTGTGTGTGTGTGTGTGTTGTGTGTGTGTGTGTGATTTAGATTTCAAACATCTATACTCTCTCTCCCCTTATATATGTATATATGCGTTTGTGCATACTCTCTCTCTCTCTCTCTACACACACACACACACACACACACACACACACACACACACACACACACACACACACACACACACACACATATATATATATATATATATATATATATAATATATATATATATATATATATATATATATGCATGTATACACTTGTGTACATGTGCCCTTAAAGTAAGTGTGCATGTGTATATTTACATGCGTATACAATACACTAAAATCAATATCAAGATCTATTAGTTTGATCATTTCTGCATTGTTTCATCCATAAGTAGATAATATATTATACCGCAAATAGTTTTTATCCATTGGCTTTGGATTATATGTATATTCTATTTGTGGAAATGTTTGCTCGAAAGGGAATTTCCTGCACTAGATCATCGCTGTAGCCGTCAGTTGTTTTGAAAGCTGAAATACTGCTTCTGTAATTTATAAATGTTATAATAAAAGGTTGCGGCAAAAGGTGCGACGGAGGATAACGAATTCAATAACAGTAATTCGACATATTAGTTCGTTCTAATGAAGTGAGAAATATCCCAGAACATTCGTAATAAGAAGAGACACAGAAAGATCAAAGATCTCAGAATCATGTTTGCATATTACTTTTTTCCAGATAATCCTGGAATTGGCACACTACAACTTATATGAACTCCCTACGATATATGACAGACGAAGGTTGGAGACAATAGAAAAGTTATAGCTAAATTAAAATAAGAATTGTTTACTTCGTTTAATGCTTTACTTATGCATTTTTGCTCCAACTTTTTTTCTTTTTTTTATATAGACAATATCAATTTGAAGAATAAGGAAAGGGTGGTTTAATGGTTAAACTTCAAAATAGTTATGAAAGTTATTTTATTCGAGTTTGCATTTCTGCCTATTTGGTAAATTTATTCCTCATGTGCTTCCTGGTTGTTCATGTTCCCTGAAGACATGTTGAGTGAGGAACGATACCTTAAAGCATCGCTTGGGATATTTTGTCCAAAAGAAGGGTTGAATCTGCCAAAACCAGCACCAACAGCATACGGTCCAACATAAGCAGACAGTCCACCAAGACCTGCAAGCGAAGGGTAAGGGCCAAGACCTGCGTGGAATCCAGTTGAAGCAGCAAGGGAGCGTGAGGTCCACCTGATAAGGGAATCCAGTTAAATAATCAATGGGAGTGTGAGGCTTAAGACCATAAGGGAATTGGCCTGCAGCTCCAACATTAGGGAGGATTCCACTAAAGGCAGAAAGAGAGTCGTGATGTCCAGCAGCATAAGGGAATCCTCCCAAAGAAGCAATGGAAGTGTGAGGTCCAAGAGCATA